TCCCTCTATTCTTTTTCCTAAAATAAACCTATATACGACATAAAACATTTATCTAACATCAAACCTCACACTTGACTTAACAATGAGCTTCCTATCTTGTGAGTAAGATTATTTCCATAAAGTTTCTTTGTGACCCCTCTTTTCCTTATTTAATCAAAAATAGTCAAAAATGTATGCTACTACGCCACTTAATCCATTATTAAGATTCTCTATTATCATCTTCTTCAGCTACATCAGTCAGATTCAAAGAACGCACGGCTTTATGTTTAAAACTTTAAGGCCTAGTTGATTTCATTCAAATTGCATTACAGTTACAAAACATGTTACAGTTCTATAGTTCTGAGACATTTTAACCCATTTTAATTGTTCTGTTTCACCTTGTCAGATTGTGTAACACACTTTTAGCATGTTTAAAGTATTTCTTTTATATAATGCATTTTAAATCATCTAAACTGGCCTTCTGATATGTGGCTCTGAGGTCAGAGGACACAAATGAAATATTCTGTACAAATATTTTAATAAATAAATGGGGTGCAGAGGGAGACATCTGGCTGCAGTGGGGCAGGTGGATTTGCCAAGGACCTAGCACAGGGGTAGGCAACCTTTCCCCTTTAAGGGCTGAGGGACTTCAGCTCCCAGAAGCCTCAGCTATGTTGGCCAATAATCCTATGTTGGCCAATAGCTCCTGGGATTCTGGGAGCTGAAGTCCCTCGGCCCTTATAAAGGGGAAAGGTTGCCTACCCCTGACCTAGCATGTCCACCGGCTGCTGTTCCTAATGGTCTTGTGGAAGATAGATGGCTGTAGGTGGTTGGACATTTCTTGGTATGATGCTTCTGCTCAGTCCCCTCAGGTGTTCCTACCATGCCACCAGGTGTTGGGGTAGGACTAAGATATTAACCCCATCATCTCCTTTCAGTAGGACACAGAGCTGGATAGGAAGTAAAAGCAAAGCAAAGCAGCTGCATTTATATACCGCTTCATATCGCGCATGGGATGTCTAAGCGGTTTACAACTGTGAGCTGATTGCCCCCCAACAATCTAGGTACTCATTTTAGCGACCTCGGAAGGATGCAGGCCTGAGTAGAGCCTCAGCCCTGGCTGGTATTGAACTCGCAACCTTGTGGTCTTTGAGTGAGTGGCTGTACCACACAAAGCGGCCAAAGGTTCCTTCCAAAACAAAAGCAAAAAGCAAAGCAGCTTCATTTATATACCGATTCATATCATGCTATGGGATGTCTAAGCAGTTTACAACTGTAAGCTCATTGCCCCCCAACAATCTGGGTACTCATTTTAGCGACCTCGGAAGGATGCAGGCCTGAGTCTAGCTTGAGCCCTGGCTGGTATTGAACTCGCAACCTTGTGGCTCTCTGTGAGTGAGTGGCTGCAGGACAGGCATTGAACCACTGCGCCACCCGGGCTTCCAACCTGCCAGCCCTTGCCTCCAGTATAGCTGAGAGACCAGAGCTGGTCAGATGGTCAAATTTTATTTGGAAACATCAGCAATTTATAGAATTTTCAGCATTTTATGAACAGAGAGGAAGTGTGCATGGGGAAAAGTGGTTTCACATTGGTTGCAAGACCTTATTCCTAGAGAACAGAGT